TCGTACGTGGAATCTAATGAGCAAACTGAACTGACAAAGAAAACAGAGACAGACACAGACTCATAGAAAGCAGGATGACAACTAAGGGGAGGGAAGGTTTGGAGGTGGCAAGACTGAGCAAAAATGAAAAAGGACTCACAGACATGGACAACAGTATGGTGATTGCTGGGGGAAGGGGCATATAAGGGGACTAAATGGCAATGGCAAATACAATAGTAAATAAATACATAAATAAAAATTAAAAGAAAAAATAAAATTCTAAATGTGAGTGTGAGGCTTATTAACTTTGAGCTTTTCCATTGGATGATGTGGCTGTACAACTTTATTGGTTAATGAATCACTAGTATTAAGAGTGTTAGATCTTTCCTCTGAAGCTAGTCAAATTTCCCATAGAAGATTCATTCATTCTCTTGCCTGGTAGGTAACAGTCTCACTGATATTTCAAGTGAGCTGTGTGAGAAACATTACTTAGTGCTAGGAGAGTGGATTAGAATAAAGGGTGTCACGTTCAGCATAGGTTTTATCTGATTGTCCTTATTTCACCATTCTCTTCCCTGTCCTCATTTTTGAGATAACTGATTGCATGTGCCTCAAACTAAAAGATTATTCAGCCCTGGCTGGTGTGGCTCAGTGGACTGAGTGTCATGCCAGCCTGTGAAACTTAGGGTCACCAGTTCAATTCCCAGTCAGGTCTCATGCCTGGGTTGCAGGCTGGGTCCCTGGTGGGGGCACTTGAGAAGCAACCACACATTGATGTTTCTCTCCCTCTCTTTTTCCCTCCTTTCCTCTTTCTCTGAAAATAAATAAATAAAGTCTTTAAAAAAGATTATTCATATTAATACAAAGCAAATTCCTATTTTTTATAACAGCATAACAAAATTCTGCTATATATGATCCATATCAGGGGATCTCAGCTAAGGGATTGTCAGTGTCTGTACTTTCATGTTTTCCAAAACAGAAAGGAAGGGAACATGGTGAAATATACTCTGGCCCTTAAAATAGCTTATCCTTATTTTAGAGGGGAATATAACTATAATCTTGTAACATTCCTAGAAAGAGAACCCAGAAATATTGGTGAACAGCACTAATGATTTTTTATCTTGCTGCTTATAGTTCCTCCTGGATCTTTTCTGGATTCTGCATTGCAAAATGGGTTTGTCCTCCAGCTTAACTCTGCTGATTTGGGGTTTTTCATTTTCAATGAGCTAATCTGGTTACCACTTGTTCATTTTGATGTTGCTGTTATCTTTTCTCCCATTTTTGCTGTTACTTGGAGTTATATCTTGAAAAATTACTTTAGTTTTTGTGGAGTTTCACAAAAGAGTGTGTTGGATGCATGTATTCAGTCTGACATAGTTATCTGAAAAACAATGGTTGTAATTTTCTGTAAATTGAATAAGCTAATTCTACAATTTTGAGCTTTACTGAAAATAATTTAAAGAATGTGATAAGGTAGATGTTTTATAAAAATACTTTATTATCAAGTTTGTATTGACATGAACAACATTTTGATCCCACAATTCTCTCTCTGTATATTGGATTTTCAAAGGTGTTCCTAGAAGAAAGCATAGCAATTATAAACAATAGCAATTTGTTGAGTCTTAGAAAAGTCAGTTTGTTAAATTTCCCAGATCTAATATTTACTTAGGGAATTATTACTTACTTACAAATCCTTTTACAAATCATAAAGCTTGAAATCCTTGGCTTTTATCAAACTTAAAGTAGCCACTAATTTAGTTGTTCTATCAGTTATCTGCTGTCCCCCAAATCTTGCCTAATAACCAACCATAAAGTTTAGTAACAAACTTCATTGTATTGGTTGCATGGGTATTTTTCTCATGAGTCTGTGGGTTACCTGGTCAGTTCTGGTAACAGAAGTCTGGCTTGGGTAAACCGGGCTGAGCTTGCCGTTCATCTCTGCACAGTTGTGAAAGGGCACACAGCATGCTGGTGGAGGCTGGCTAACTGCCAACTAGGATGCTTCAGGTCTACTGGAGGTGTCTCTTATTTACTAGTAAGCTTTTCTGAGTATCTAAGTCAATTCTGGCTGCTACAAAAGGATACCATAGATTGATGGTTTCAAGAACAAACATTTATTACAGTTCAGCAGGCTGAGAAATATAAAAACAAGGCACGAACAGATTAAGTGTCCATGAAGGCCTATTTCCCAATGTGCAAAGGGCTCCCTTCTCACTTTATCTGCAGGTGACAGGGAGAGGGGAGGGAAAGGGAGGGAAAGGGAAGGGAGAGGGGATAGTGAGAGTGTGTGGGGCGGGGGGAGAGGGGAGAGAGAGAGAGAGAGAGAGAGAGAGAACAAGCTAACTCTCTTCCTATACGGAAAATCTCATCATGAGGAATCCACCTTCATAACCTAATCACTTCCCAAAGTCTCCACCTACAAAAACTATCACATTATGGTTTCAGAATATGAATTTGGGGTGCGTACAAATATTCTACAACACTGGGCTTATTCTTATGGTAGTAGCAGGGTTCTGAGAGAAAAAAAATGCTTGTAGGTCCTAGGCTTGGAATTGACACAAAATCGCTTTTGCTGCATTCTATTGGTTAGTGTAAGTCACAAGAACAGCCCAGATCCAAGGTGTGGGGAAAAAAGACTCTCCTTCTTGATCAGAAGATTCATAGCATCAAATTGTAAGGATGTCGATTTAAGGAGGAGTATAAAGTCTGTTTTTTTTAAATTCTGTCTTCCAGAAATGTCAAATGATAGGTAGTTAAAAATAATTTCTGATGGTTAAAATATAAATGGGGCATACATAAATCTCCAAATGAGTTTAAAGAACTGAATAACTGTGCTAGAAGTAAACGCTCTTTGTTCTTGGTTATGGACACATTTCCTCAATGCTTACATATACATAAAACATTTTCAACTAATGCCTAACCCTCTCATTCAAAAATAGCCCATCCAGATTATAAAGAGATGATTTCTAATATGTTTATATTTTATACTTAATAATTACTTACAAAGTTGAAAATATAGTATTTAAATTGTATATACTATAGTTAGAATAGAATTCAAGTTTTCAACACAGAGTATTATATATTGGGCAAAAGTAAAGTGATGAAAAAGTTAAAAATTATCACATGAAAATATATTTCATTAAAATAAAATTATGTGCAAAAATAGTGGAATCAAAACAAGTTCAAGGAGAAAAAGGAACAATATAGAATTACCAATGGTTAAAAGAAATTTTGTTTACATATTTTTAGGTAGATATTGGTATATGGTAAATCACAGTTTTATTGCATATAATTTAAAAGTGGTATAACTATTTTATTGTAAAATGTCATTACTTAAAGAACAACATTACATGTATTTTATCAAAGTGTTCCCCTTAGGATGAAAAGTTTTAATACCAGCTGAAATGTAGGGAATATTATGTAATTAAATAACAACATACATATACATATGCGTGTGTGTATGTAGGTGAGGGTTGCAAGGAAGAAAGAAAACCATTTTAAGGTGACTGCTTTGGGCCTGTCAGTCTCCATCAGGTCTGGCCTCTCTGTTCTGGACTCCACACGGTGACATCTAGAGCCTTCTATCCATATATCATTGTTAAAACTTAAAAAAAAAAGACATTTCTTATCATTTGTTTCTGTATGCACAAGTGATTACTTTTTATTATAAAATAAATTATAGCCCTGGCTGGTGTGGCTCAGTGGATTGAGCATCAGCCTGCAAACCCAAAGGGTCGCTGGTTCAATTCCCAGTCAGGGCACATGCCTGTGTTAAAGGCCAGGTCCTCAGTAGGGGGCACGTGATAGGCAATGACACATTGATGTTTCTCTTGCTCTCTTTCTCCCTCTCTTCCTCTCTTTCTAAAAATAAATAAGTAAACTTTAAAAGATACAAATAAATTATAGAAGCCATTGCAAATTTATTTGACTCTGAGTCATTGAAACTATAGCACCTTTGTTCCCCAGTGGGTATCAATGAAACCTTGACTTCTTGAGGTCTGAACCCTGCTGTCTAATCTATACATGTATCCATAGGCACACATGACTAGCTCAAATTGAGATATGCCATAGGTGTAAAACACATTGTATTTTGAAGATTTAGTACAAAAAAGAGAATGTAAATATAAAACAGCTCATTAATGCATTTAGGCTGTTTTGGATATATCAAGTTTAACAAAATATATAAACTAATTGTATCTGATTTTTAAAACACTCTGATGTGGCTAACCAGGATATCTGAAGTCACATATGTGGCTCCCATTCTATTGCTATTGGCAAGCACAGATCTAGCCCCACACAGTCAGGAGCCCTGAGGACAATCTCTGTCCCCAGAGGACTCAAAGGGCACATGACTTCTGGCTTTTTGTGTGTTCATTTTTTATCATTTGTGTAAAATTTTTTTACTTAATGGTTGAACACTAGCACAAATTTCCAGTTATCTTAGGACTTATCACAGTCATAAAACTAGTACTTACTTAAGAAATTGTTTTTGTTTATCTTGCTCTCTGGACTGTAAGTTCGATGAGATCAGGAACTATAGCTGCTCTTGCTCACTGTTGCACTTCCAGAGCCTAACTATGCCTAACTATGCCTGGTGACTGTAGATCTTTACTAAATACTCGATTAATGAATAAATGACCTTTCTGGTATACAACGGCATGTCTGAATTTTGAAATGGGAAAGGAGTGTGATGTAACAGCTGATGTCCATGGCCCACTGAGATCCCTACATGACCTCTGTTTCTGGTGAGATTCTCCCTGTGCCTTATAGGGTTCAACAGGATCGAGCCATTAAGTGAAATTATTATCCATGAAATAGTCATAAAATGATAAAGGAATGAGGGGAAAGTAATTTCTTCACACCACAGGAGACTATTGTATGCAGTTATTAAAGAGAGGTGATGAAAGATGACTAGAGAAGGAGTTTCCTGGGAAAGATTGGGTGTCCCAGAAAAAAAGTGTGATCCCCAGTGGCATTTAATGTGAGGCGATTCATGTGCCTTTTCTTTCTGATTGTTCCAGAACGCTGCGATGACTGGGGGCTAGACACAATGAGGCAGATCCAAGTGTTTGAAAATGAGCCTGCCCGCATCAAGTGCCCACTCTTTGAACACTTCTTGAAATTCAACTACAGCACAGCCCATTCAGCTGGCCTTACTCTGATCTGGTATTGGACCAGGCAGGACCGGGATCTTGAGGAACCAATTAACTTCCGCCTCCCTGAAAACCGCATTAGTAAGGAGAAAGACGTGCTCTGGTTCAGGCCCACCCTCCTTAATGACACAGGCAACTATACCTGCATGTTAAGGTAGGCTGAGTTTTGGTGGTGAGTTCTCCTTTCCATTTAGTCCCTGGGTCTTGAGCTAGATGATGCATGGCATGTGCGATGAAGCTGTGGATGGGACAGAAGCACCTAGAAAAAGTTATGAACACTCTACCTCAATGGCTTAGCTAAGCATGGCTGAAAGAAATGTGAGAAAATTGTTGTGCTCCTGAGAACATTCTTTGTAGGTGGTCCCTTTCCATACTTTGACATACGTCAAGGTTGTCTAAGGTCACAGCCTTGTTTACTTGTCCCCTTTCCCTGACGGGAGAGCCTGCCTACCCTTTGTCCCCACCAGAGGACATCTATTCCTCTAGAATCACAGGAGTGTCCAAACTTTTGGCATCTCTGGGCCACACCTGAAGAAGAGGAGTTGTATTTGAGACACATATTAAATACCTTGTGACACACAATCACAAAAACATCTCATGATGTTTTAAGTAAATTTATGATTTTGTGTTGGACCACATTCATAGCCATCCTGGGGGGTCCGCCAGCCGCAGGTTGGACACCCCTGCTCAACGATCAGCGAGGCAGGGAGTAGAACCCATTGGTGTCTGTTATTGTCTTCTTTCAAAGTACCTTAAATGGAATAAAATCCTGAGATGCCTTTTATAGAAGAAAGAGTGTTTGTGAGGCATCATACATAATTAGTACAATGCTTTTCAAACTCTTCTACCAAAATCCCCCTAAGAAGCAAACAGACACCATATCCCTGGGAATCTAGGGATATAATCCAAAGCACCCCATCATTGCACAAAACTTCTTTCAAATCCACTTTTTTCTTGAAAGTTCATGTAAACTTTGCATTTTGCTCCACAAAATATTTATTTTTTTTCCTGTACTACCAATTTATGTTGCTTTTGCTCTGAAAAAAATAATTAAACTGAGGCCTCTCTGACAAATAATTATTTTAAAGCTTAGTTCTTTAGCTACTTTTTTCTCCAAGGTTCCTTTTTACTTCTAGGCTTTATTTTTTAAACTCCCACCCTGGCTGGTGTGGCTCAGTAAATTGAGCGCCAGCCTGTGAACCAAAGGGTCAAAGGTTCCATTCCCAGTCAGGGCACATGCCTGGGTTGCAGGCCAGGTCCCCAGCAGGGGGTGTGCTAGAGGGAACCACACATTTGCAAGTTTTTTCCCTCTTTTTCTCCCTCCCTTCCCCTCTGTCTAAAAATAAATAAATAAAACTTAAAAAAATAAAAATAAATAAACTCCCATCTGTGTTATGTATTTTTACATTGTTTCCTACTATTTAATAAATACATTGGTTTTCCAGGGCTGCCATAACAAAATACTACAGCCAGGGTGGTTTAAATAACAAAAATTTGTTTTCTCACAGTTCTGGAGGCTTGAATTCCAAAATCAAGGAATTGAAAGGCTTGGTTTCAATCATCTCCCTTTGACTTGTAGAAGGCTGTATTCTCTCCATGGTTTCCCCTCTGGTTTCTAATCCTTCATATTGGATAGGATCTAACCATATGGCCTCATTTGACCTTAGTTGTCTTTTTGCATGGTTTTTCTCCAAATATAGTCATATTCTGAGGTACTGAGAGTTTGGACTTCAACATATGAATCTTGAAAGGACACAATTTGGCCTAGGCTTATAATGATAAGGCTGAATAACATAAGACAACAAATTGCAGTAACATAACATAACATAACATAACAAACATAACATAACATAACATAACATAACATAACATAACATAACATAACATAACAATAGCTAATCCCAGACCTTCTGAATGCCCCATGTCATTCATGGGTATTAACTGTTCTCTGATGGAGAATTTAGTTAGGACTATGCTTTGATAAATTTAAACTATGGAATGATTAAGAGGAGAAGAACCTGTTTTCTACCACAGAAAACATATTGATCATTATGGCCTTGGGAGTCCCTTAACTCTGACGGCCCTTCTGAGGCTCTCATGTGACTATTTAATTTTATTGAGGTGGACTCTAAACTGCAGTGTGGGCTTCCAAGGAGCCTGAAATAGTCATGTGTCCATTATTTATATCTTCATACTTCTTGTAGGAAAGGTTAGAAAAGATTATAGTGGAAAGAGCAATGGATGAGAAGACAGAAAACCTAGGCTACGATTCCACCTCTGCCATTGCATAGCTGGTGATCATAGCCACATTTGTCCATGCCTCAGAGCATTACTAGCTATATATCTGCACGCAAAAGTCAGCCTACATGCTCTTTGAGCTCCTTTCCATCTTTAACAATTGTTAACCCATTAACATTTGTATGTGGACATCAGCAAATATCTGGGAAGAGGTCACTGGTAGCTTTCTGGATGACCTTGGTCTCTACTACATTCTAGTGCCTCAGTATCTCTATTTCCTTTTCCTCAGCAACCAACTACTTATCTAGAGCTTTTCCTAGACTTCTCTAATCTTCTTTGACGTTACAGGAGCAGGGCTGCATGGCTGTTAGGCCTAAGTATACCTTTAATGTTATTTTATTAATTTTCAGATTGTTTCTTCAGTTTACATGTCTGCCTATTTTCTATGTATCTAAAGAAAATCTAAAATTAAACTTGTCTTGTGGGGACACCAGAAGTTTCTCATTGTCATGAGTTGATTCCTAAACTGAGCATGGCAAAGCGAACCACTGAAATCATAAGCCTGATGTCTTTAAGACCATTGGGTTAAGATTCAGTTTCTAGGATTTTACTGCTTGTATTCTTGCTTTAATACCCCTATTAAGATAACATCCAGATTTGACTTTCGGAGCTGGAAAAGTCAGCCCAATCACTGTTAATTGTCTTTTATTAAAAAATCAGAAAATATATCTGAAATTTACCTTCTGTAATATCTTCTATAGAATACTTTTATCTGATAGACACCTATTATTTGTTCATAGAAATCATGCCTGCTTCTCTCCCTTTCCACCTTATCACTGTCATGAGTCATCTTCAAACACCCTCTCCTCGCATCTTGGTGAGGAGAATGCATACCCCCACTCCTTCCGTTGTATTTAGTCATAATTCATGAGTCATTGATGATTGAGTATGTACTTGATACTTTAAATAGAAACTATTAACAGGGTGGACCCACTTACCCATCACCCTAAAAATCACTTATTTTTATTATTTGTTTTCCTGTATATGCATGCAAGTTTTACATCAATCCCATTCATTTTAACAAATATTTATTCAGCATCTACTGAAAGTTTAGGCACTATGCTAAATGCAAGGAATATAAGTAAACACACATGGTTATGCCCTTGTTTGAAATATAATAAATTAAGAAGAACAGAATAGCAAGTCAGCACAAGGAAATGTCTGAAGTGCTTGGAGAAGTAGAGACCTAATTTGGGGTATGTAGAGGACCACACATAAGACCTCCTTTTGAAAGGTGGGGTGATGGGATAAGAAGAGGCCTCCATGCAGACAAAACAACCTGGGCAAACATTAAAAACAGTCTCCAGCCATCTTAACATGTTTTATGCATTTGTTAGTTTTTTTCTTAATGCTTGATTTTTTATGGATATCTACAACAGCTTTGAATGGTTGTACCATGATTTTCATTTCAATCTTCATATTTTATAGATTTTTAAAATTGATTTCTGTGTTTTCCTTGTTGATCAAGCACTACATAGACACTTTTGATCATGTGCTCCCCCTGTTACCAATTTGCCATATTGTATCAAGTGAAAAATTTTCCAGAAATAAGATTACTAAGGCAAAAGTTAAAACATTTTTAATGGTTTTAGAAATGTATTTATTTTCTAAAGGTTGCTTATAGCATTATCAGCCATGAGTATTAATATGGTATTCTCACCTTTCTCTTACCAGCACTGAATATTATTGAGAATGTTTTAAGCATGAAATTAAATATACATATACATGCATATATATATGTATATACACAGACAGACAAACACATATACATGTTTAGGAGCATATTTAAAAATACAAATATTTTAGTATATCATAAGTAGTTAATTACGTCTGTTTTTATTCTGTGATGTCAATTGTTTTAGCAAATGCCTCCATAATGTATTTAACTCTCACATGAACTTGCAAGTATAACATCTCAATACATGGCATTACTTCACTTAGCGTTTTAAAAAATGTATTTACTACATTAAAACAAATGCAAATGAAACTCCTCATTCATTGCATATTTCTCTTTTCAGGAACACCACATATTGCTGCAAAGTTGCATTTCCTCTGGAAGTTGTCCAAAAAGATAGCTGCTTCAATTCTCCAATGAAAGTCCCCGTGCACAAACTGTACATAGAATATAGTGTTCAGAAGATCACTTGTCCAAATATAGATGGATTTTTCCCTCCCAGTGTCACACCAACCGTCACTTGGTACATGGTAAGCACCCTGGAGGGCATTTTACTCTCTCTAAAATAGCAGAAATGATTTGTTGAGTTGATGTAGAAACAGATTTTTCTCGTTAGATCTTTAATGTCTTCTTTAGTGACTTTATACAAATCTTTCAGTGCTTCCTCACCTTATAACATTTTAAAGGATGTGCTAGAGAGCACACTGCCTTAACCCATTATCTCTTAAATTGCATTCACTGACTACTAAAAGTATCTCATTTCTGTTAACTTCTCATGAAATGCAATTTGAGAAATGTTGCCCACTTTCATTCTCTGCTCAATGAAGGTGGAAACTGCTAATTCATCTGGTGAATATTAATTCCTTGACTAGTCAATACTGCATTTTATTACTTGTATGGGTTTTCATGTTGGCGCTTATTTGTGGGCATAGTCCACCTGTGGTCTCTTTCACATCTCAGGGATTTGGGAAATGTTTGATCAGAAATGGTAGTATTGGAAGGTGACACATGTGACAGCCACAATTTTTTAATATCTTCAAATATCCACATAAACCCAAGCCCCAAACTCCTGGACAACATTTAAGACAATACTCAGTGTCAAGTTATCCACAAGAACTACTTTCAATAAAACAAATGAGACAAACTACAAACATGACCCATACAAAATCAATGTCTCTAGGGAAAAGGAGTAAATGGAAATAAGGTGATATCTGGCAGACTGGAGAACAACACCCCCACCCCAAAAGCCAGTGTGTACTCACTAGAAAGTATGGTGAGTCAATTTAAGAACAGCAACTGAAATTGGGAAGGGTAAGTCCAAGATGCTTATAGTAAGAAATTCTAAAGGGTTTGGAATTTTTCTAGTGCGTTGGAACTCTAAAGAACAGCCACCTATGATGTGGAGAAATGACTGGGAATGGTATCAAAAGTAAACAAGATTGGGCCCCAGTTCAGTGGCTGGACTGGTGGGAGTGCCATCCCAGGCACCAGAAGGTTATGAGTCGACCCCTGATCAGGATGCTTATGGGAGGCAACCAATTGGTGTCTCTCTGTCTCTCACTCATTCAGTCTCCCTCCCTCTCTTTCTGAAATCAATAAAAATATTCTTGGGTGAGAATTAAAAAAAAGTAAACAAGATCAGGCTAGTACAGGGTGAGGCAAAAGTAGGTTTACAGTTGTGAATATGTAAAACACTTTATTCTTGTATTATAATTTATTAATTATTGCATTATTTCCCAGACAAACACATGTAGCCCTACTTTCACCCCACCCTGTGTAGAGGAGGGGAAGAGAAGACCAAGAAGAGCAGAGCAGAGTCAGGAAATGTGAAGACCATACTTTTGAAGAGGAATCTCTGTTAAGACAAAAAATCTTGCCAAATTGTAAAACTCAGAAAACAAAAATAATCAAGATAAACCTACCATTTGGAATTATAAGAAAAGGAAGAATAAGAAGCAGAATAATATTCTATGGGGGGGGAAGCATGCCAGAAGGACATATTTTAAACCACTATTTCAAAAATGAACTAAAAAAATTTAAGAAATAATACGAGATGAGAAAGATTAACATAAATAAATTAGAATTATGAAAGTTCAGAAATTCTAAAACTCAGTAAAAACTTAGATGTCATTTTAGGAATGAAGCTAAGGTAAGGGGAACATAATATCAAGTGAGCACAATAGATAATGCCTTAAGATTAACAGAAAGTGGAACAAATGTAAATCAAAATTAAACGATGGATAAAAATGAGGAGGATGAATGTATAAAGTAGACTTTAAGACAATGAGTATAGTTAGAGATAAAAGAGGACTTTCCAGAATAAAAAAAGGGTCAATTCATCAGTAAGGTATAAAAATAATTAAACTATATGTGCCTAATAGCCGTGTTTCAAAATGCATGAAGCAAAAGTTGACGGAAGTAAAGGACAAAATAGGCAATTCCATAATCATAGTTGAAAATTTTAGCATCTGTCTCTGTTTAAGTCATTAATGAAATGAGTTTGGAGTAAATTTCAAGAATTTTCCATTGACCAAAACGGAACAATTTGAATTTCAGTAAAGGTATAAATTATAATAGCTCAAATCCCATGAATTAAGTTTAAGTCCATAAAAGTTCATAATGCTATTTCAGAATATTTAATTGGTTACATTTGGGTGATAATAGGAAATGCATTTTTTATCTTGAAAACTGGTATATAAAGGGGGGAAATTGAGTATTTATTCTGTCTTTTCTATAAGAAATGTTATAAAAAGGTGCAGAGAGGCCTGTTTTTATAAAAGTATATAATCACTCTGTAACCCCCAATGACCCAATAAGTCTAAGCATCAAGCATCAATGACAGCCACCATCACAAGAAGAGTTAACAGCCAGACATATCACTTTTGATGAAAAAATAATAGCAATTATAATTGTGCCAAGTGGATTAAACTTTTGGATGCCGCTGCCATTTTGTGGGAAGTACAGAGAACAAAGAGATGTATTGATCTGAACCATGAGTTTGCAGTCAGCAAAATCCAGACTGCAGAAAATTGTATATGCCAAATGCCTTCGGTTACTCAACAGATAAATTGTAAGAAAAACAAAGGCATGATGTGGGCATGTATTGACTAAAAGAAACATGTAAGACAAATTTAAAAATAGATGTGACTATGAGTGTCTAAGGACACACAGAAAGGTGATAAAATTCTAAATGAAAACAAGGAGTGATTTTGCTGTAAAGAGTGGATAGTGGCTACTCTGGCCGGTAGTAAAAGAGCTGACACTGACATAGGGCATGTGGGAGGTGACTGGCAACATTTTATCCTTGGACCTGAGCTGTGGTAACAAAGGTGTTTGCTTTATAATAACTTATTAACACATACATACTTATGTTTGAGTGTTTTTTACGTATTGCGTTTTATAGAAAACATGAAAAAGGGAGGGGACAAAGTGAGAAAATGACAGTGAGAGAGAGATGTTGAAGATCAATTGCAATGTAAAAACTTTAGATCATGTTTTGTTCAAACAAACTATAAAACAAGTTATGAGAAAATCAGGGAAACTTGAAAAGAATATTAATGATATCAATGAACTGTTATTACTATTTTAAATCATGATAAAAGTGTGATAGCTATGCTTGCAGAAAGAGTTTTGTCACTTAGAGATACAGAAGTATTTACAAATTAAATTATGCAATATCTGTGATGTGCTTCAAAATAATCTAATAAGAATTCTAAGTTCCACAAGAATGTCAACAAGAATTTATTATTGGTTTTAAGAACAGGAAGAAATTTACATGCATCTACTCCATGAAACTGACTATTCCTTGAGGGCAAAGTTATGCCATACCCATCTCTCTGTGTTTCCACCGATTCCCAACTTTCTGTTCTTTCTGTTTGGATGAACGTGTGAAAGTCTGAAGCAGCAAAGGAGGAGCAGGTTTGGGGAGCAGGTGAAGGATGTAGATAATGTCATATTGAGGTAGAGGTGTCTTTGAGGCATCTAGGTGGCAGTGACCAGCAAGCAGTGGCTACATGAGGAAGAATCTGGAGCACAGAAGAAAAATCAAAGTTGGAGTCAAAGAATTGGATGCATCTGTATCAGCGATTTTCAACTTTTTTCATCCCATGGCACATATAAACAATTACTAAAATTCCGCAGCAGACCAAAAAATATATTTCTGCCTATCTGGCAAAAAAGGTATAATTTTGATTCATTTACACTGGATGCCTATTTTTGTGTTTACTTTTGTCATTTTTTTTATTCGACAATCTGAAGGGGAAGATGTCAGCATCCCTGACTAAATAGTGAGGTATTGCGTATTTTAAAACGGCTTGTGACACATCAGTGAGTCTCTTATGGCACACTGGTTGAAAATTGCTGATCTATTAATATAATGTATGGTAGTTGGAGCCCTTAAGGCTGGGGTATCAAACTCATTTTCACTGGGGGCCATTTCAGCCTTGTGGTTGCCTTCAAAGGGCCAAATGTAACTTTAGGACTATATACATGTAACTACTCCTTAACTTGGGGCAAGGAGCTCAGCACTGCTGCCGCTGGGTAGAAATAAGGTGCTGGGCCAGATAAAACAAGATGGAGGGCCAGATTCAGCCCGCACTCAGGCCTTGTGTTTGCCATCTGCGCCTTAAGGACTAGCACTAAAATCTGGAGAGAATGTTCCTGGGGTGAATGAAATCAGAAAGCCTGGAAAGAAGACAGAGAAAAAAGTCATAGTGGCCAGACCATTGCTATGGCAGATACCCAACAATGTGCAAGTGACAAAACAGAAATGGGTAACCAGCCAACCTTCCTATTCTATGCAAAAGGTCACTCTTGTTGTGTGGTATAGTGCTTTTATTTCTCTCTCTTTGTGTAACTGCCTGAAACCATTAATTCTAATAGTGCTGCCATCTTGGGTACAGAATCAGGGTTCTTGGCAGCTACGTTTTCCCAGCACTGCATCGCAGTGCTGACATTGCTTTCTGCCTTCTGCCTTCTACAGTAACTCCCTGCATCCACTTAGGTATCTTGGCCCTCCTAGAGTAGTTCTCTTTTCATTGCTATCAGCTGAATTCCCTGCCTTGGCATTGTGGAAATAGTCTCTTTTTGTGACACAAAAAAAAGTGTGTAAGAGCTAAAAGATACATTAATTATGTTCAGCAATTTGCTTCCTCTTAGCAGAAAGATGAACACTGATACACTGAAAGAAGGAAAAGAAAGCTAACCATTCTTGCATTTTACTTGTAAAATACACTGAGCTAGGTACTTTATGTGTTACATTTAATACCCATTACCATCCTTCAAGGCAGATGTCATCCTTTTATAGATCATGAAGCAGAGGCTCAGAGAGGTAAACAGTAGAGCTAACATTTATTGAGCACAGGAATTCTTCCAGATGCTTTAATTCTTTAACTTAATTCTCTCAGCATGAGGCAAGTTATCTTGTGTTCTCCATTTTATAGTTAAGAAAACTGAAGGTAAGAGCAATTGAGAGCTATGCCCAAGGTTACTGAGCTAGGAGTCAAGGTTTAACCTTATGCCATCTGTATCA